CTTGAGATTGCCTAAACTCCCAATATTGTTCGCTACATTCTGAGCAATTATTTCTAGTAGGCAATCTCAAACCTTTATTCCAACAATGTCTGAAGAAAAGGCAATTCCAATGTGACTCAGCTTGTTCTCTTTCATATCTCTCTTCTTCTTGTTAACGTTGATATTCCTTCTCTTCTAACTAGCGCTGATAATCTTTCTCCTTCTGCCATTGCCATTTATTCAACAAAATTTGAGATGTAACACATGGTCTCATCGCACCATCTCTCGATGTTTCTCCTTGCTTATGTCGGCCCTTTTATTGGTCACGACGCCTTTTAATTTCTCTATATTCAATAGCCGATATTTGCATCTCCGGTTCAACTGTTCTAGTTTCTCTTGCCCTAGCTGATGTCAAAACTTTAGTTTCCCCTTTGAGCAACTTAGCATCAACCATGTTTTGATTCTTTGGAAAAGGATTATCAACTTTCATTTTTCGAGCTGTATCAAATTTAAGCTTTCCTTGTTGAATAGCCCTCTGAATATGCTGCCGAAAAATCCTACAATCATTAGTAGTATGAGAAGTGGTGTTATGTTACTTGTAGAACTTCTTATTCTTCAACTGATCGGGAGGTAATATAACATGATTGGCAGGTAGTTTAATCTGTCCCTTCTCAAGTAAGAAATCAAAAAATTTATCTACTTTTGTAACATCAAAATCATAACTTTCTTCAACTTCTTTATTCTAAGGATTTGGAATCATTACTATCATTTTACCCCAATTCCATTCAGCTGCAGTAATTTTCTTTTCTTCATCATCATCATCAACTAAATATGGATTATAAGCTTCAGTGATTGCAGCATTCTTCAAGAATCGGGTATCTATGCGTATATTCTGGAATTGACTATTAAGTGCTGCCACCCGTTGAGCTAATTGACCTAAATTGTTAATTTATCCTGCAATTGACAAGGAGAGAAAATCTTATCAGTAATTTAAAGTGGAACATGTCGGTGTTGCACCAGACAGTTCCAAATGTACAGCTAGATAGCCGATTCGATAAGGCTATCGACTAAATAGTCGATATCCGATGTATCCATGAAATGAAGATCTTTAAATCAAGGATTATCGGCTAATATTAAATGATTATGATATGAATCAAAATAATCGATGCTCATGAAACGTCAGAAAGCATCATCGGCTAAATGGAACATAATCGATATAAAGCGTCGAGTCGATAAGTTTGATGAAAAGAGTATAATATGCGAACAAATCGACTGTCTAATATAAATGAATCTACAAACAGTTTGAATCTAATCTATTATCATCAACAGTGAGGTTCGATCGGATCGATACAGCTATGATAATAATAACAAACTAAAGCCAAAGAATCTATAAACCATCTATATGTTGATAGATTCATGAAAATATGCTATATGCGTGAGAGTACAGGCAAATCGGTTAAAATAGCCTATGCAGTCATAACAAACAAACAGAGTATATATCTTGATCATGAATAAGATCACTAATAGATAATTTCTAATCCAAAGTCTTACCAGTGAGGTTTGACCGGATCGATGCAGCTATGGTAGTGTCATTAGATTAGATCTCATTAACTAGTAAGTTTATTCAAGATTAAAACATGTCTTTGGATGCATACTATGTTTGATTGTAATTGAGATAAAACAGCCGATCTAGCGGAATTAAGCCATCAATTATAAGATTTAAAGCGTGACCAGGTCAAAGGATGACTAATTAAGATGATATGATGCCGATCTATATCTATCTCAATCGGGTGATTTTGTTATAATTAATAAAACATTAATTATAATAAGATCTATAACTGGTGAATCAACCAAAAACAGCAAGAAAATCTTACTAATCTTAGCAGATTCGATAATTGATGATATTATATTAAACAAGTTATTTAACACAAGATCGATAACTTTGATCTATATTATAATTCGTAAGAGATCAATAAACTGATGCAGCCTTATAAACTACCATACAGATCGATAACTAACTTTTATTATGGCTCATAAAAGATCAATCAGCTGATGCAGCTTTACAAGCACAATACAAGTCGTGACGGTACTCACAAGCAAGCTGGATGTCGATCAGTTGATGCAGCCCTGTTTGCTGAAAACTCACCGAGATCTATAGTACTCCTACTACTAATGCGATGGCGAAAGCCGGAAAGATTGCATTGATTGAGTGTTCGTTTTCTTGTACAATAACCAGGGTCTAATATTTATACCTGGAACATAAATATGAATCCTACTGAAATACAATTCATTACAATTCTTGGAATAAAAGAAAACTTTCTAACTTAATAATAACTTGGACCCTAATTTTTCGTATTTGTAGAGTCCGACATATCTTCCTGGCGCCATTCAAGCATAGCCCATTGGCGTCGTCTGCTGACATCATCTATAAAATAGTCGATTCTGACATCGCATCTAAATTAGCTGTTACCGATTCACATCTAATCGATTCCTTGATGACACAATCTTAGAAGCTTTGAGTTCCCACGTTTTTCTTTCCAAATTTTAGTGTAAATAATGTTATATTATATGTTCACTGTGTAGATCTACTCACGTGGAGTCTAACAAAATTAGATTTTCTATTTTATGATTTTTCTGTGATTTACTATGATTTTTCAAAGATTCAGCCGAAATAAATAAAAAAGAAAAAGATAAAATCTCCTTCAAAATTGCTTATAACAGGGCCAGGGAGGTAAGATGAATGGTTTTAAAAGTTGAGGGAGGTGTTTTGCCTGGTTTTGGAGTTCAGGGAGGAAAAGCGGACTTTCACGAAAGTTGAGGGAGGTAATGTGGTCTTTTTTCTCTTCTAAACCAGATAGGGGCCCCTGTTGTGGCACACGGGCCGACGAGCGTTATGGAGAGCGGGGCAACCGGAAGATGGGCTTCTGCCTCTTATTCTAGGCTAGGAACGGCCCCCCAACAGCCCAATCAAAGGGTACTCGGTCCGAATCGGTGGATCGAACACCATTGCAACATATGAAACATAAAAAACATTGGGCTGATATCCAATTATAGCAGCAGCGCCACAAGAACGCCGACCGCCAATTGCAGTAGTTGCAGCACCCAATTTGTTGTAAGAAATCACCTCTTAATCACTTGATCAAGAAGGGCAACAACAACGCAAAGGAAATAGTGGATATCAGCGTTTTAACGGGAAAGGAAACTGTGATCGCCACAAACCAGAGTGGATTTCTGTTACTGCCCATAATCGAGCGTAATCAGATTTCTGAAGACTCGTATCCGTTGCCCCAGCACAAGATTACATCACATATATCTAACAAAATAAAGGGCGTGGCTAGCACACGGACATCCGAACGCTAACCCTTGTCTGGACATGCCTCCCCCATCTATTGTACCCACACCGCATGTCTGATGAGTCTGACCACATGTTGCACCTGTCACCGCCTGCCTCGCTTGTCCCGCATGCGGCTGCAACTGTGCGGCTGCCCACTCGTCTTCACATGATTCTGCATGTACGCACGCAAGCCCATGCCTGTTGCTGCGTGTTTCGCTTCGTTCCGTGCTGTGCGCCCGTGCATGCAGGTGAGGACCACCCACGCCCGTGCCCCCCCGCATGCTGCTGCCCCCCTCGCTTCGCTTCTTTGCTGCGCGCCCGTGGACGTGCAGTTGGGAACCAGTTCTACATTTGCAACACCAGATATACTTTTGCAACATCCAGATAAAAACACATACAACATTCAGATGAAACATATCAAACATACATATGAAACGCATGAAACATACTCTGCCTACTAATGAAAACACTTGCAACATGAAGCATTTGCTGCAACATACGTCTAAAAAAGGTGAAACATTTGAAATATACGGTAGCAACATACGTGTATAGCCACTGCAAAATATGCAACATCTAAATAAAACACTTGCAACATACGTTTAAAACTGATGAAACGTTTGAAACATACAACTGCAACATTCTGTATAGCCATTGCAACATATGAAATATACAGATAAAAACACTTGCAACATACATCTGAAACAGATGTAACATTTGAAACAAACACTTGCAGCATACGTGTATAGTCATTGCAACAAATGAAACATAGAAATAAAAATACTAGCAACATACGTCTGAAATAGATGAAACATTTGAAATATACACTTGCAACATACGTGTATAGTCGATGCAACATATGCAACATACAAATGAAACACATACAACACTAGGTGGAACATATATCTGAAACGCGTGAAAACATACGGAGCTCGATGCAATGAAGTGACGAAGAAATTTAGACCAACACTCAGCGGCCAAGGTCAACCATCATGGAAGCAGCAAACGGCGCATGTAGATGTGGGCCCGCGCTCCTCTCACAAACAGGCAAGCATCCTGGCCGGCCCTGCAACTGGCAAATCCGGTCGACCAGGGCAGCAACGCTGCAGGCAGCATGTGGCAGGGGCAGCTTGGCTTGGGCGCAGACAACACAGATACAGTAAAAGAGCATGACGGCAAGCAACAGTAGCCTACCGCAATCATAAAAAAGGAAAACATTTAGCTAAAAATTTAAGACTTTTTTGGAGCTCCTAGGTCCTTCGATTTGGATAAACAAAAGCAGCTTAATTGAACAGGAAATTATAGAATTCCGAGAAGAATTTAAATAATTTCGAAAGTAATATGACGCTAGATCCAAGCAAAATAGGTTGTGCTTCATTGAAAAGATTGGATTTTTCGAGGTCTCTAGGTTCTCCATTTCGGATTTTTTTTTAGGAAAACTAGGTTCTCCATTTCGGATTGACAAGAAAAGGTACAGAACTGTCGGACTAAGCAAAACGACAACTCACTTTTTATTGGTCGTGAGTTAGAGTAGGATTCTGACCGGAGTCTGAGGTGTTGTAAGTAGTAATCGAACAGGATTCAGAGGTGTTCTTTGGTATACGTAGTACATGGAACTATATTGCACGTGGTTTGGTCGTCCGAGGCTCCGAGCAGGGCTGTGCGGGCTGTCAAGGCACGTACTCGATCCATGGAGATCGCAGAAGGCACAAGGAAACGAAGCCGCTCAATCGGCGGAAGCTCGGGTGGCGGCGACCTGGACCGGCTGAGCGCCCTACCGGACTGTCTCCTCCACGTCATCCTGTCCTCCCTCAGGGCCCGACAGGTGGTGCAGACGTGCGTGCTGTCCACACGCTGGAGGCACCTCTGGCGCTCCGTGCCGTGCCTGGACGTCGACATCGTCGAGTTCAGGCGCTCCGGCGGCGGCGGCGGAGGAGGCGACAGCAGCTCATCCGACTCCGACGATGACAGCTCCGACTCCGACATCGACACCGACTCCGACTCCAACTACGACTCGGGGTACAGCCGGAGCAAGGGCAAAGGGTGGGACGAATTCGAGGACTTCGCCGTCAACCTCATGCTCCGTTCCAACATCGCGCTGCTGGATTCCTTCAGGCTTGACATCGATCGGGGCAGGAAACCTCAGTTCAATCGCTGGTCCGATGGTGCATCACACGGCAGCTGGACATACAGTGGCCGACAATGAAATACTGCACGCCAGGTCACGCCATCATCAATTGCCAGCGTCAGGGACTGAATCTGAGCCCCAGTTCATGGCACCTCAGAACGCTGCATCTCTGCCACGTACCTCTGGACGATCGTTTCGCGGAGCATCTCAGCTCAGTGTGCCGCTCTTTGGAGGATATGGAGCTGGACCATTGCGCCTGTGAGATCCGTTCGATCGCCTCCGACTCCCTCACACTAGTAAAAAAAAAAAAAAAGGCTTCTATTCCCGGCTGTCAACCCCCTTTATTTCCGGTTATGCAGCCGGGAATAGGAGTTCGAGAATAAAGAGGTAGTAGCCGGGAATAGAAGTGGACTTTTAGTCCCGGTAGGTCATAGCAACCGGGACTAAAAAGGTAGCCACGCCAACGCCTGGGCAAGACCCTTTAGTTCCGGTTGGTATTACCAACTGGGACTAAAGAGTCTTTTTTTTTTCTTTTCCTGCTTATTTCAATTGATGATTCTTTTTTGTTTTAATTTGGTTTTCGAATACGCATTATTCGCTGCAAAGTAATATCACGATATCTGTGGCAGCGTCTTGTAAAGTTTTCGCTTCGATCAATGCACGCAAAACAACACAAGTAAAAGTAAACTAAAAAATAATATTACATTTCATCGTCACATGTAAAGTTTGCATTAATTGTACATTTCATTATCACATGTCCTTTGGATCAATATGAAATTTGGCTTTCATCATCACATATTTGGGTTATAGTAAAACTCGCCGCCGGGAGTTAAGACCTGATCATTCAGAAATTCACCTATTGTCTCTTGGATTGCTTTGAGATGGTGTGTGTCCAGGGTTTTTTCCTTCAACCAACGAGTCTTCAATTTGAGATATGAGATAAAGAAAAAGTATATTAGTATATATATATATATGTATCAAGAATAATGATAAATAAATTGTATCTATCACGAATATATATATATATAAATATATGTATGAAGAATATATATATATATGTGTACACTTACCCTTTTTTTTCCTCTAGACTAGTTCTTTTTTAGCACACTCTCATAAACTCGCAAACATAATATCCACAGAGATTGGTCCGCTGGGGCTACAGCAGAACCCACTTTACGAGAAAAAGATTCGTCATCATCCGAGCATAGGGAAATTGAACTAAGGTAGGTATATAGTACTTACTTTGTATAGCACTACTTTCAGTGGCACTTTGCGTTTCATATGGTGTTCCTGACAGACCTTTTCCCAACAGCTACCAAATAACATAAAAATATTTGGACCATTAATTTACATGCAGAGAGACCGGAATAGTTTTGCTAGTGAGACTGCAATTACCTCTGAATAATATCTATCATCTCTTGGAACTCTTTTTGCTCTTTTCTCATCGAGTCCCAGATGCCTAGATGACCTTTCTCCAGATCGAGTTCCATCAATATCCAGTGTTCACTGCCATATCCATTAACACTCATTAATTAGCTAACAGGTACAGTGAACATATATATATATATATGGATGCACGATCGTCGACATTATGAACACTTACCTGAAGTTGTAGGGGAAGAGTATACATTTCTTGTCACGTTGCTTCTCTAAGAACATCTTGATATTGGCCTCCGTTTCTGCTTTCCATGTTGGATGGGGTTTAGGGTTTTTGAATACGATATGTGGATCAATGAAACCAATATCAGTACACCCTCTCTTTTTGCACTCTCCCATCTCAAACCTGCATCATATATATAGAGTGAGGATAATAAACACAGACATATACGTACGTAGCGACTTATTATTAATTAGTAGAAAGAATCACTTACAGACAATAGCAGCTGATGAGAGTCTTGTCGAGAGAGTTCCGGTGGATTAGTTGGTGTAATTCAGCAAACTCAATGTACATAACATCATCGCCACGGAACCAATGGTCATCTTTGATTCTGACAGAAATATAGAACTCTTTCCGGTGACACGCGTCGAGGTACAAGATGTTTAGCTTGAACAATTGTGTACCCAGTTCATTGGTGGTCTTAGGATTCCATATACTCCTGCCATGCTCATATTTCTGCCATTCATCCGCTACCGGCGCACTTTCGAAGAGGAAATCGCCAAGGTCGATACCTTTGATAGTATAAAAGTTAGCAAGTTCTGTCATATCCACTTCTTTATCAGCAGGTATTTCCATCATATCCAGCATATCTATGTTTGAACCATATTCATTAGCAATAACTAGAGGAGGGACTGAATGTAATTCTTGTTCTCCAAGTTGTGCAACAGTTTTCCCTGCTTTAGCAGCTTTCTTGATTATCTTGCTAAGAGTGCGGTCAAAGTCTGATGGTGGCGAGGGCTTACGAGCTTGCCGCCTCTTTTTCTGCTCAGCTTCCACCATCCGCCTTAGTTTAGCTGGAGGTAGGTGGAAGTGCTTCTCGCTCTCATCGCTTCATCTTCCACATGCACGAGAAGAATGCTTGACGGTTTTTTTAACCGCATCATCTAACTCCTCTTTACTCATTTCACCATGCAATTTCTGTGGAATTGGCCTTGGTTTCACGGGGGCCTTCTTGGTCGTCTTCGCCGGTGGGGCAGATGGCTTATTTGTTTGCAACCGTCTTCCCTGGTTCATGGGAGGAGGTGGGGGAACAGGCGTTGGAGACCTTCGAGGCGGCGTTGGGGAACGCCTTGGAGGTGGGGGAACAGGCGTTGGAGACCTTCGAGGCGGCGTTGGGGAACGCCTTGGAGGTGGGGGAACAGGCGTTGGAGACCTTCGAGGTGGCATTGGGGAACGCCTTGGAGGCGGTGGCGGCGGCGGTGGAGACCGTCTTGGAGATGGTGGGGATGCAGCCGTGTCTTCTACCCCATCGTAACCGCCGCCCGGAGCACTATGCTTGTCTGGTGATTATACTATTGGACTTAGGTTGGGGGAGGCCCTGCTATGTACGTACAGAAGACAATGAGTCAATTGTTATTTAAGAGGCAATATAAAATTAATAAAAAAATTGTTTCGTTCACTTTCATCCATACCTATTGTGCGGCAACGGCTTCCTAGGAATATTGATGTAGCGCTTGCGCCATGCAATGAATGACTTCTCTGCTTCTCCCACGGTCTTCTCCCCGTCACCTCCATGAATGTCAAGAGGCACATCGCTAAAACCTTCAATAGCTTTATCCACCGAGACGGTAGCATATCCAGCTGGTACTACTGCCCTATGGATTCTTGATGTCTTGGTACGGTCGATAGGGTTTACAACACCAATATCCACCTTCACTGTGCCATTATCTTTTGGAATGTGCAGCTCACATGATGTAAAAGGTTCAGTGACGTCATCCACGGGCAAGCGCAGCTCTGCATCTTTTATGGCATCAGGCAACTCTGTAGAAGCACAACTGCTTCTCAACTGATCGGGGGGGGGGCTAATGTTGATTACCAAAGCTGTTGTAATCCCATGGGCACTCAATTGTATTTGCACTTGCCTTGCGACTTCCTCTTGCATTTTCGCTTGCATTTCTTTTTCTCGCCTTTGTGATTCAAGCACCGCTTCCCGTGACTCAATAACATATTGCTGCAAGATGCGGATCCTCTCTGCCTCCTCATCCTTCTGTCTCTGGCGGCTTCTGTACGAATTGATCCATTCAGGGAAACCTTGCACCCATGGAACGGCCCCTTTGCCTCTAGTTCGTCTAGAATGCTCAGCGGTCCCGATGGAATATGTCAGTTCATCTTTCTCTCTGTTGGGCCAGAATAGTCCACTATCTCTAGCTTTTAGAATTTGAATCAACCTTTCTGTTGCTCTTTCGAGTTTTGTGCCATGGACGAGCTTCCCGGTGACTGGGTCCAATCCTCCCCCATGACCTAAAAACCAATGCATTGTGCGTTCAGGCCACGGTGCTGATTCAGGTACGACCCCCTTGGCAATAAGGTCTGCTTCTATTTTTTGCCACTTGGGAACGGAAGTCGCGTAGTCACCTGATCCCATGTTATGGTGGTATTGCTTTTGTCTGGAATTCTCTTGGTTCCTTCTCGTCCATTCCGCACTCTCTTCTGATGTCTTGTACTGTACAAATTCCTCCCAGTAGGACCTTGCCTTCGCGATTGGGCCCTTATCGTTCCATTTTGGAGTCTTGTTCTTCTTGACGTATGATTTGTATGCTAATTGCTTCTTCCAAGATTGGAATTGGGTGGCCATCTTCTTCATTGTCCGATTACCTAACTTCGCTCAAATCAACCTTTTCGTGGGTGATGTCTTCATGATAATCATCTGTTTGGGCGTGAAATGTGCAAGAACATCTTGCCAAATCAGCTCCTTGTCCTTATCAGAGACATAACTAATATGAGGAGCATTGTTATTTTTTTTCCATTCACGGGCATTAATCGGGAGCTTGTCCCTTACAAGGTACCCACAGTGGTACACGAATTTCTGTGCATATTGTCCTAGTGGTTCGCCTGTAGCCATGTTGAATTCTGAGATGATGTAGCGGCCTTCCAACGGCTTTTTGGCCCCTTGAACATTCTTTGTGTTCCACGTCGTCGTCGTCGATCTAGACGGCTATGTATGCATAGAAACACAAAAAGTATTATAAAACGAAGGTCGATCCAGTGGGCTACATGTATGCATAATAAATAAATGAGAGCTAGATATTGAGAAATATATACCTTGCCAGAATTATCTTCATGATCGAGATTCAAGTATTGACTCCCGTCGTCTTCCTGCTAGTCATTATCAACATCGGCACAATGTTCAGTGCCGGCGTTGATAATATCCATCATTTCCGCCTCTAGGTCATCGTCTCTCGGGTCGGCCATAGAGAGGCTAAACAATTATAAAACAATAATTATGCAATTAGGGTTTCATAGACATTTCATACACATTTCGGGGCGGTGGTGCCTACGCGGGGCGGCCGGCCAGCGTCGGTGGCCGGGGAGGGTTTAGGGTGGTTTAGGGTTTAGGGTATAGGCCACATGGTATCAGAATATAACATAATTGATTTTATCTTCTTTCTTTCTTTGGCTAGTATGCCATCTTTGATTGTATCGAAACTTTTACTTTGAAAGCCTACCATAAAGCATACTAAGCAATTCTATGTCTTTGTAAATGAAATCATCTTCAAGGATGATAAACAATTAACAAGGTAGGCAATGCATCAAGTAGGTAACATTTGAATTAATCAACTTAATGCAATAGGTAACATAGGTGATAAACTTTTTAAAGTAAACAAGGTAATGGTTTAATGCATAAACCGGGGCTTGCCTTCGTTGACGATCTCGGGTTCCGGATCAGTACCACAATTATCGAATCCCGAGACAACCGGGGATTCTTCCACAACTTGCTCAACTAGAATCGGTTCACTCTCGGATTCTACACGAAATAATAACATATGCTCCAACATGATGATAATGTAAACATGATGCTTTCATGGTGCATGAAATATGACCAAAACAAGATCAAACCCTAAACCAAACACTTAGGATTTGCTTTTATCCATTTTTGAATTAATTTGGAAATAAGCTCAAAACGAACTTGTTCCAAATGACCTCAAAATTTTATGTAAGCTTCTTTATGACAAATTTACCAAAACAAATTTCATAATTTTTGGAGTTATAAAGTGGCCTACAAAAATCAAGAAAATTACATTTATCAATTAATTGACTGAATTTTTGAACATTAAAAATTTATTCAAATTTCAAGTTTCATATTTTTAAACCATAATAGAACATGTACAGAAGCTACACACAAATTTTCAGAATTTTTGGAGCTGTAATTATTTTCCTATGAATTTCCAAAGTTGCTGTACTATTCAAAATCCAGAAAATAAGAAATCTCCCTGTTCTCTCTCACTAACGACCCGGCCCCGCATGTCAGCGACCAAACTCGCCGGCGGCGAGGCTCCAGCAAGGCGGACCGCACCAGCATGACCAACACCACCCCGCGAAATTACCCCAACACCCAGAACAGCAGCAGACGCACCGGAGGAAGCTCTACGTCAGCCATGGCGGCCACGGTGGCGAGACACACTCCGACGTGACTGGGCTACGACTGGGAAAATGATCGAGCTTACGAGCAACAGGATGTCACGGGGAAGGCGCGGCGTCGGGGGCGTCGGGACGATGCCCTCCGGTGAGGAAGCAGGCGCGGCGTCGGGGGCGGCGTGGCGCGCGCGCGCGTGGCGTCGGGGGCGGCCGGGGGCTCCTCGGTGACGGGCGCGGCGTCGGGGCTACTCCGGCGAGGTGGGCGAGCCTCGGGGTGCCCTCCGGTGAGGAAGGCGGCGTCGGGGGCTCTGGGGACGCGCTGAAGACGAAGACGATCGATGAGGAGGAAGGGAGAATGGAGGCAGCGGTTTATACGAGAGAGACCTTTAGTCCCGGCTCCATCCACTGCCCGGGACTAAAGCACCTTTAGTCCCGGCTCCGGCCACCAGCCAGGACTAAATGGGGGACCTTTAGTCCCGGCTCCAACCACCGCCCGGGATTAAAGCACCTTTAGTTCCGGCTCCTTCCACCAGCCGGGACTAAAGGGGGAACCTTTAGTCCCGGCTGTTGGAAGGAGCCGAGACTAAAGGATTTTTTGGCGGACCGCCAAATGCAGCCCACCTTTAGTCCCAGCTGGTGGCAGGAGCCGGGACTAAAGGTGGACAACATTTTTATTTCACGTCAACTTTTAAGCAGATCAGTTTATTTTATATATGTTTTGTATTTAAATATTTAAGTCTTATTATTTACGCAGTAAATTCAATACTAGGCATAAATTTTTTAGAAAAAGTAATAAAGTTTATTTTCATTTACTGCACACAAAAAAAATGTGACCTAAACTATTATGTTTTTATTATAAATGTTGAACATAATTCAACTAATACTCACTATTTTCGTTAATGCAAAAATGTAGACTTTAATTAAAATTATTAAATTTATTGGTTTTCGACAGGAAATTAGTTTTCACGTAATTGTAACGTAAATCTTTAGGTTCTTCATTAATCATTGTATAATTAATCGGTGAGTTCGGATGCAAATTCAATTAAAGTTAAAAAAGTATCAAACCACCTCAAAAAAATCTCAAACTTGGTGGTGGCTACACACAGGGTATTTGTAGTCTTGAGAAAAAGTTTGAGACCAATCCGACACTGGAAAGCAAATGGACTTCAGAGTCCCAGAGAACCTAGGTGTATAGATAGGGTTGGACGAAAGGTTGTATATACCTCTGTGAAGCACATCTACTCTGCCTATGTCGAAATGGCTTGAAATTTTTTTGGCAGTCATTTACACCCAAAATATGACCCCACACAAGATCTTAGGTTTTTCTGATAATTATTTTTATTATTACATTTTTCTTTGTGCCGTGTGAGACAAAATACGGTGAATTACGTATTGAAAACAATATAATTTTGCATCAACCTCCACAAATATTTGTCTCCTACGGCACAATAGACCATTTGGCAAAGTTTGGCACCATTCCGGATCATTTAGGGGGTGGACCCAGTTCAATGTATAATTAATCGATGAGTTTGGGCGGAAATTCAATTAAAGTGAAAAAAAGTACCAACCCACCTCAGAAAAATCTCAAACTTGGTGGTGCCTATACATAAGGCATTTGAAGTCTTGAGAAAAAGTTTAAGCCCAATCCGGCACTAGAAAGCACATGGACCTCAGAATCTCAGAGAACCTAGGTGTATAGATAGGGTTCGACGAAAAGGTTCTATATACCTCTGTGAAGCACGTCGACTTCGCCTATGTTGAAATGACTTGAAATTTTTTTGGCAATCATTTACACCCAAAATATGGCCCCACACAAGATCTTAGGTTTTTCTGATAATTATTTTTATTATTACATTTTTCTTTGTGCCGCGTGAGACGAAATACGGCGAATTACATATTCAAAACAATATAATTTTGCATCAACCTCCACAAATATTTGTCTCCTAGGGCACAAGAGACCATTTAGCAAAGTTTGGCACCATTCCGGATCTTTTCGGGGGTGGACTCAGTTCAACGTATAATTAATTAGTGAATTCGCGCGGAAATTCAATTAAAGTGCAAAAAGCACCAAACCAGCTCAGAAAAATCTCGAACTTGGTGGTGGCTTCACACAGGGCATTTGCAGTCTTGAGAAAAAGTTTGGGACCAATCCGGCACTAGAAAGCACATGGACCTCAGAATCCCAGAGAACTTAGGTGTATAGATAGGGTTCGACGAAAGGTTTTATATATCTCTGTGAAGCACGTCGACTCCGCCTATGTCGAAATGGGTTGAAATTTTTTTGGCAGTCATTTACCCCCAAAATATGGGCCCACACAAGATGTTAGGTTTTTCTGATAATTATTTTTATTATTACATTTTTCTTTGTGCCGCGTGAGACGAAATACGGTAAAATAAAACTTAAAAACTTATGTGTGAAAATTATATTTTTCCCCTACAATCTAAAACTATTTTTTCAACAAAAGACTAAAAATCAAAGTATACTTAAGAAAAGAATATAAATGAAACTAATAAACTAAAACTATTTGTTTTTTTAATAACTACTGGCGGAAGCTTTATCCCCGGTTAGAGGTTATAACCAGTAATAAAGAGCAATATTTATTTCCGTCTAAAGCCTCCAGCCGGGACTAAATATTTAGTCCCGGTTAGTGGCTCTAGCCGGGACTAAATATCGATCTTTAGTCCCGGTTATAGCCTCTAAACGGGACTAAAGGTTTGCCCGCCGAGCCAGCAGCGTTGGGCAGCGACCATTACTCCCGGCTCGAGGGTATAGCCGGGATTAAATCTCCTTCACTCCCGGGTTCAAAAAAATGCCGGGAGTAACTCCGAAAATGGTGCCGAGATAAAAGGTCTGTTTTCTACTAGTGTTAAGAACCTGGTTCTGAAACATTGCACATGGGGCAGATTCTTCTGACATTGCATGCCCCAAATTGAAGACCTTTGGTGATCAATGGTGGCTCCAATAGATACCGCCACCCGCCGCTGGCTATCTCGGCCCCCATGGTTGGCTATCTACGCCTAGATGTGGATGCTGACCGCTTCCGTGGGGGTATTTCGATAACCAAGACGATGCCATCCCTTGACAGGGCCTCGATTCATTTACGCTGCAACAAATACTGTTTATCCAAGCTTCGAAGTAGATTTGATGGGGATCAATCCGAGCTTCTTTTTAGTGTGTCTAACGCGACAAGTTTGGAGCTGTCAGGTGTTGGGACGACGGTATGCCGTATGCATGCTCTTTGGCATCTTTGTTTTCTCTGCAAGTGTTCCATTTTATTCGTCACTCTGATAATGTGTTGGTGCTATCTATCTACTTCCTTCAAATGTTCTCCAGGTGCTCGGTGAGGAACCCAAATCCCTGGAATTCCAGAACCTGAGGAACTTGCTGTTGGGCGACTGTGATCTCAGTGATGACTTCCGCGTATTGCGGTTCTTTCATCAGGGTTCGCCTAATCTAGAGAAGGTCACTTTGCGGCACTGCAAGGTACTACACTGTAGCCTGGTTTTTACTAGCTTCTCATATGGAACCAATGCAAACATATATAGTTCATCTTCGATCTCACATCTTATTTTGTGTTACCCACACCGATAGTTCCTAGGTGATTCTGATTCCGAGGACAATGAAGGCAAAACGCGCAAACTCAACAAGACCTCATCTTCTGATTGCTGTGGCCTGGACTTCCTACGTGATGCGAACGTCGAGCTTGAAATCATACATAAAGATGACAACGATGCCTGCCGATTTGCTGACGAGCTTGTGCTCGACCTACCACCAAATCCCAAAGGTACCACTGATGCTGTTCCTGACGATGCTACTGCTGCTACTGAAGATTCGATGCCTCATTCAACTGGAGTTGGGCCTCGTCGGGGAACTCGGCGCAAGACGACCAGCGTGCGCATCTCGGGACCTGAATGGGAACGAGCCAAGTAAACTGTAAAGTGGAGTGTTTATGTTGTGTAGCAAGAGATCTACCATCACCCTTATTCCTATACTCACTTTTCTGTTCCCTGGAGAGGCCACGTCACCTTATTTTCCTACCCCTCCGACTACCATTACCCTTATTCCTATACTCACTTTTCTGTTCCCTTCAGAGGCCACGTCGCCCACTACCGGATACAGGAGCTTTGCCGAGCACTCGGCAAAACCCCCAAAACACTCGGCAAACCGTTTGCCGAGTGTTACATTCAGCAAACGACACTGGGCAAATGGTTTATCGGCAAACGCTGTTTTGCCGAGTGTTTTTCGTCGGGCACTCGACGAAGACTTTGCCGAGTGCCCCAAAAACACTCGGCAAACATTTTTTGAAAAAAAAAACATCAGCCACCGGAGGAAGAAAGGGCGCCGCCGAATCCGGCCACCCCGCTCGCACCGGCGCTGGCCCGCCACCGGATCCAGCCTCCCCTCGCCGTGCCACCACCGGAGGGAGAGAGAAGAGAGGGTGCCACCGGAGGAAGAAAGGGCGCCGCTGGATCCGGCCACCCCGCTTGCACTGGCGCTGGCCCGCCACCACCGCCACCGGATCCAGCCTCCCCGCGCCGCGCCACCACCGGAGGGAGAGAGAAGAGAGGGTGCCGCCGGAGGAAGAAATGGCGCCGCCGGATCCGGCCTCCCCGTGCCGCTCTGCCACCGGATCCGGCCTCCCCGCGCCGCGCCGCCACCGGATCCGGCCTCCCCGCGCCACGCCGCCACCGAATCTGGCCTCCCCTTGTCGCGCCACCATCGGAGGGAGAGAGAAGAGAGGGCGCCGCAGGAGGGAGAAAGGGCACCACCGGATCCGCCCTCCCCGTGCCACGCCGCCGTCGGATCCGGCCTCCCCGCGCTGCGCTGCCACCGGGTCCGGCCTCCCTGCGCCACGCCGCCACCGGAGGGAGGAGAGAGGGCGCTGCCGGAGGGAGAGAGACGCCACGCCCACAACGCTGGGCCACCCCTCCACCACCGCCTGGGGTGCGCCGCGGGGGCCCCTCCCTAGATCTCGCCGTTGGGGGAGGGAGGGAGGGAGGGAGGGGGCGGCACCGGCCGCCGGATCTCACAAGTGGGAAGGCCGCGCCGGGGAAGAAGGGAGTGGCCAGGAGAGGAGGGGAGGGAGGCGGCGCCGTTGGGAGGAGAGGGGGCGCTGGGGGCCGGGAGGAGAGAGAAGGGGTGGGGACGGGAGAGCGCGGGTGGGGTGCTGGGGACACGGTTTGGTTAAGTAGGTTTTTTTTGTTTGCCGAGTGTCCCAGATGGGGCACTCGGCAAAGTTTATTTTTAATTTTTTTCTTCTCCTACTTTTTTTTGCCGAGTATTTTAGATCTGAGCACTCGACAAAGTTTTTTTTTTCTTCTCCTTCTTTTCTAGAAAAAGTTTTTTATTTTTTTGTCGAGTGTATTTTTTTAACACTCGGCAAACAACCTCTTTGCCGAGTGTTTTTGTTTTGACACTTGGCAAAACGTCCTGTTTGCCGAGTGTTTTTTTTGCCGAGTGTTTTTAGCGCTGCACTCAGCAAATAACTTATTCATCGAGTACCCGAGGGAATACACTCGGCAAACATAAAAACACTCGACAAATTTGAGAATTCCGGTAGTGGCCTTATTTTCCTACCCCTCCGATTCCCGATCGACGCACACCAGAGCACCGCCTGGCACCTTCCACAACATTCTGGCCTCATCTACCCCAGCCCCCCACGCTGCCACGGCAAAACTGGGCCGCTCAGACGCACGCCACGGCGCCGTGCTGCGCTTCCTCCGCCACCACAGCAGACGCAGCGAGCTTCTCCCTGCCTCTCTCCCTCGTATATATAGATGACTGTCCGAGGGAGAGAACAAGAAATGTATGAACTAATCAGGCCAAATTCTAGTTTAATCTGCCAGTACTCGTCCGGCTGAACCCATCTCTGCCTTCCTGTACTCGTAATCTCGCTCTAATTCTAGTACATAGCGACAAATGGCGAGTGTAGATTAATTGGACCATTAGATGTAGTCGGCATGTGACTTCTTAGCTTCCTCTCCTACTCTCTCGAGTTTCCTTTCCCCATGCTACAGTAGATCGCGGGCGACTCGAAGGGGATTCCGTCCTGGCGCCAGATTCGCCGGTTTCCCCTCGCTCAAAATGGCAACGGGTACCCGAAACCCGAGTACCCGACGGGTTTTACCCGATAAAGAAGCGGGTATGGAAGACATTTTGCATCCGCGGGTACGTTATTGGACAAATTCTTGTACCCATCGGGTATGCGGGTACGGGTGTGGGTGTATACTACCCATACCCGCATACCCGCGAGTAAAAAAACCCGCATAAATAATATTCAACCTCTGCAATTTTAGCCCATATAAGCATATAGCTCATATTTGGCCTATATAAGCATATGCGTATATATATTCCAGAACTCCCTCAAACTCTAATCCCCATATAAGCATATTTGGAATAAACCAATGAGGCATCTGATCTATTTCAACTAGCTTGACCTGGATATATTTCTGTTTTGCTGCTCTATTGTTGATTTGTTTTGCTGGAAGCTATTATATTTTGGTGTGTGAACTCAGGTATATTGTTGGGTGCGGGTTACCCGTCGGGTAAGAATTACCCGTCGGGTGCGGGTATGGAATGAATTTTCTACCCGCCTACGGGTATGGGTAACCCGACGGGTAAGATTTTGATCTGGCGGGTGCGGGTACGGGTGGCCAGTACACATCGGGTACGTACCCATTCGCCGTCGGTGTCCTTCTGGGCGCCGATGTATAGGGGAGGTGCGGATCCGGCGGCTGGTGGCTATTTCCCTTCCTATTAGGTTAGTTTTTGTTGGTTTAGGGTTGGATTTCATCCCAGTGAGGCTTTGTTTGGCTGCACACAAATCCACCCCAATCCATGTGGTTTGGGAGAGATTGTGGTGGAATTTAGTTTAAGTTCCACCTTAATCCCTTCTAAACCATATGAATTGGGGTGGATTTGTTAAACAAGCCCTGAGGAAATCGTTGGTTTCATTTTGCTTCCTTCCGAGCTTCTCAGGCATCGGCTTCGTCGGTGGTGTACGGGTCCCGGAGGTGTGTGTTGTGCATGTGGAGCTTGCTGATGGTGTCATATGCAGGGATTTGGAAACCAATGATGATTTATTTGTTGTCTTTCTATACGTCGGTTTTTTAATCTTCTGTGAATCTATTTGTGCTGTCAGCATCCACGCAGTTTGCGTCGCCGCCAGCTTCGTCACCCATGACTTGGCTGCTGCTGCTTGGAGGAGCCTCAGTGGTTGTACCGGTGGCGATGGCAAGTCGTTTGCCGGTGTTTTGATCCACCTTCTCGTTTCTCTGAGTTGGAGTACTTTGACCCCTCTTGTGGGTTTGCTGTTCGTCGTCTGGGGTTGGCCGGTGAGGTGACCGGTGTCAGATTCCGGCGACGAAGAAGAGACGGCATGTTGCTGTTTGCCGGAGCGTTCAATGGATCAAAAGCATGCTTTGTGCGTGTTACTGATGGGTCTTTTAAAATTTCAAGGTCTTTTAAAATTTCAAGACTCTTCGTCGATTCAGATGTCGGACGTGAGCTTCATCCTGGGTCGTCTTCATTGAGGGAGATGGAGAAGGACCGGGCCACGGCAATGTTGGTCGGCGAAGCCCATTGGGTACTCCTTTAGAGGAATTTGTCCCGTTCGCTTGGCTGATAAGCCATGACTGAAAGTATTGTTGGCTGATTCGTTGGGAGAGAAAAATATTGTTCGTTCGCTGAAAAAGTACGAATTATAAGACAAGCGAACAGGGTGATTATCTGTAATCTTTCTTGTGTTCAGGGGTGCCCTTTCGGGGTGCTGGATGTAAATGTACTGTTACCCTATTAATAAAATCCAACCCTTTTCTGAAAAAAAAAACTTCCTAAACCGACCATTGCGACATGCAGCCTGTTCGTTTGGCTGTGGCTTGTCGTAAACGATCGTAAATTTCCAACCGGATAGTATTTTTCTCTCACACAAACCAGCCAGCAGTACTTCTTCATAAACCAGCAACGATATAAACCAGCCAACCGAACATGCTGATGGCGGACAACATCGGAATGGACATGACCGCTTCCATTTTCGTTGTTGCCGTTGTAGGTTGGCACATGCACCCATAGCACATGATTCAACAAGAGGACAATTTGGACAGGCGCGGGATGTTGGACTTTATGTGTTTCCTAATATCTACTATAGATTACGGTGCTAGCTCAGAAAAATATAGGTCACGATTCTAGTAAACAAATATATAAAGCTGGTTTCATATTTTTCTATGTTGAAACAAATTTTCTATTATTTTCTAATATTATCAAAATCTAGTATTTCTAAATACAAACTTATTCTAGAAAGTATTTAGATAGTTTTTTAAAAAAAACATATGTTTATAAGTGTTTTAGAAGCTTGATTTTTATGACAGGATATGAAACATGTTTCGTATTTTTCTGAGTTAAACAAATTTTCTATATTTTTAAATATTAAATCAGGTTTTAGTATTTTTAAGTGCATATTTATTTTAGAAAAATATTTGGATATT